AATCCTTTAAACAAATCCCGAAATTGCGTGGTTTAGTTGAAGTAAACTGAGAAAAATACTGACGTGGCCAGAGACTTCGTTCTTACTATTAAAAGATTACAATATTATCCACATACATAATTATAACAGACATGATTAGATCTATCTATATATATCTTTCTTGCCAATTAAGAACTTCCTTTGGTCTGGGCAATTAATTCATGCATTTACTTCCTATCAGCTTTATTCCAGACCATATCTTTGGCCTCCCTATACGACACGACACCTAGTGTTTCCTTTATCTGTCCCATGTAGTTATTTCTCAGTCCTCCCCTTTCTGTTTTGCCCTCTATTTTTCTTTCTAGTGAGCTCTTTTAAAAATCATCATGTCGTAAAAGGTGGTCCAGCATTTTGCCTCTTCTATTCTCTAGCCTTAGATTATATAGATGGAGCATCGAGCCTCAAATACGGGTCAACTTTTTGTCAGCTAATTGTCAAATTAGCTGACTGGGGAGAAGGGATTGTTAGTAATGGGGAGGTTAGTTCTCATCGCTATCAATATACCCTATCAGGTCGACCTCCACGCGGTTCCCCCTGGAAACCATCGTGACTTATTTATTGTTGAATTCGTCGCGATGGGCTAATTGACCTGCATTTTCATCCTCATCAATCATCCCTCACTGATGCCCCGCCAGTGTATACCGATAGCGCAGGCGGGGTTACCATTCCATTATCATCCATAAAAAAAAATTTGCTGACACGTTTTTTTATCAATGTTCTATGTACTTACGCATAAAAAGTATCTTGACGTATTGTTTAATAATTAAAATAAATGTTTACGCATTAAAAAGATGCAGAATTTATAAAACAAAATAAATATAGAAGTTATAAAGGAATCCCTCATAACTATTGATCACGCAAAATTGTATTAAAAAGTTGACCCGTTTTTCTCGAAACATTTTTATGGAGACACTCTATCTATATAATCTAAGTCTCTATGGTATATTTTAAAAATAGTTAATTATACAATACAATTAAATTAGGTAGTTATTATTTATGATACAAATACTTTAGGGCAATAACTGTTTGGAACGAAAGCAGCGTTATAAACAGAACCAGTTGCCAAATAGACTGCAACATCCTACATTTATGAAGTTGTTAAACACCGCAATGAACTATTTACATACTTAATAATCTTACAAATATTATAAATGCGAAATTTCATTGTTTGTTTATTTTTTTTTTTACAATAGGGGGCAAACGAGCATGCCGCTCACCTGATAGTAAGTGACTACCGCCGCCCACAACACCAACGGCATTGCAGGTGTGCTGCTGGCCTTTTAAAAAGGAATATGCTCTTTTATTGAAGGTTATTTTTCTTTATACAACTTAGAATGGCAAACAAGCTGACGACCCACCTGATGGAAAGTGGAACCGTCGACTATAGACATGAGCAGTATCATGGACATAACAGAGTATACTGTTTTACCCATGATACCCCCCATGCGTTGCCATTTCTGAGGACTCAGGTGTTATTCCTCTGTACCCTGTAAATTCACACCATATCCCACCCTTCAAATCGAAACACAGCCATGCAAACACAACCGCTTTACGGTTGAAACACGAATGGGATAGAGGTACCCAAACAATCGACTTTTGTACAAAGTCTCCCTCTTGGTCCATCTTAACTTCTTAAAGGCTTAACCGTTAATCTTTTGAAACTTAACATACACGTGCTGTATGAAATGAAGAAGGAGATTGGGTTTTATTTAGAGTTTATGGACTTACTCTGGTTACACACTCGAAATCGTGGGTAAAAGCTAGTCCTATTACTATTAAGAGTATAAACGTGAAAATTTGTGAGAGTAGATGAATGTTTGTTTCTTTCTTACGTTCATTCAAATACTACTACGAAAAGATTTTAATGATATTTGGTACACACATAACGTATATCTTAATTAAACAAGAAAAATACTTTCAGATCCGTCTAGTTTTTTTTTAGTTTATAAAATGTCACAAAATTATACACTACTCTACCCGTTGACACTGATGCTCCTTTCCACTTTGGGTTTGCTTGAAAAGAACTCTTTTAGGGTTAAGCTTACCTTTGTACACTTGCTTACCTCTATCATATTCTTATGTATTATTAGTATATACAATGAAGTATTAAATAAATAAATAAATGCTTTATATATATATATATACTAATTCACGCGGGCAAAACCACAAAATACAGCTATTGCTATATAAATTTATTATCCCCGCCACTTCGTCCGCATGACCGGGATATATTGAATGACCAGGATAAAAAATAGCCTATGTCCTTCTCAATCCCAAATATACTAAATTTCATGGCAATTGACAACAGGTAACAAACACTTTCACATTTGTTACATAATCCAAAACCGTAATACGTAAATGCCATAGAAATACTTTGAGCATGTGATATTGGACATGGGCACCATGGGCATATGATATTGGGCACTATGATATTCATGATTCTGTTTATTTATTTCTTTATTTATTCATTAGTACATATATGTGTACATGGCGTACTTAATGCTAAAAGCATTATTAATATACATACATACTAAAATTACATACAATATATAACAAATATACTTACACATATATGACATATACTATATTATACACGAAATTGAGAATAATATAAATATTATGTCTACAGGCAACTACTTAACGCTTTCTTACAAGTAGACTATCAGCTTGTTTGCCATTCTAAGTATCATAAATCTTCTTTCCGCTCTTTTGTTTCTCATATCTATTACCTAGGAGTCGGCATAATATGCTTTCTTCTTGCATTCATCTCTATTTGCATTCTTCACACTAGTCACTCTCTTTCTGGCCATGTCATCTTTCACAAACTCCATCCATCTCTTCTGGGTCTTCCTCTGCACTTATCTGTCTACATTCATACATAATACCTTTCTTACTATATAAATAAAAGGAAAAAAATACCTATACCTAGAAGAAAAACAATAATATTTACTTACCTTTAAATAGATTCAGTAACGATAAAAACTGCAAATTCAAGGTTGATTCCCACAGATTATTTGCTTGATAAGGAGAGATATGGTTATAAAAACTCAAAATGACAATGTTTTCGAGACATTTTAACGTGTTTATTTAGTTTTTTATATATTACAGTTTCTATCGTTTGGACTCATATTAGGTACAGTATATGAGTATACTATACGTAATGTATGCTAAGGCCTGTTTCAAAAAAATATAATGAAAATATAAACAAATAAGGCCCATCCCTTCCTTTCTCGTGGGTTCCAGTTTATAACATTCTGTTGTAAAATCGAAACTGTAACTTAATTCAAAATTTTTTTTTACATAATTACTAGTTTTATATAGTTTTTGATATGTAATTTTAATTCGTATTTTACATAGTCTAATTTTATCTTCAGTATATATTGTATCATGGAAAACTATAAATATACGATCAATAAGTATGTATGTAATTTGCAATATCCTAATAGAGTTATAATTACTCCTCTCCATCCAAAGGTTGCCTGGAAGAGATCGCTCTTAGCGATAAGGTCGCCCATTGTTTTCTCATTGTGATTATTTCTTGTAATCATTTATATTTATAATAAGTTTACTATTGTAATCTTTTATAGGAAACAATAAAGAGTATCTATCTATCTATTTTTATTTATACTTTATTGCACACTGATAAAATATAAAAATATGACAGAAATAATGTACAAAGCTGAACTTAATTCTAAAAGAGTTCTCTTCCAGCAAAACCCAAAGTGGAAAATAGTACCAACGTCAGCGAATAGAGCGGTGTACAATATTGTGACAATTTTCAAACAAAAGAATTAGGCAAACCTAAGTTTATAGTTGTGTTTATATATATATATATATATATATATATATATATATATATATATATATATAAACACAACTATATACTTACACATATATACACACACGTATATGTATACATATAAATAAATAAATATATGTTCAGAAAGACTACTCTTAAAAATATTAGGGATTGACTCTCACAGGATTCATGCACAATTAATAAGTAATAACATCTTTATAATCTCATGACGCATTAATGAACAATTAATAATTCATTTTTTAAAAACTCTCTCGTTCCGTTCTACTCTTAAACCAAACAGAGCAACGCTCGTTGTACTCAGTAAAAATAAATACGCCGTGAAATTGAAGTACTATTGATCTTAAATGAAATTCGACGAATCATGTCAGCCGTGTCGTGCGAGCCATGTCTGTAGAATGTACTTACACGATCTAGGAAACTTGATCGGGAGTTAGGAGTCAACTATTTGTCTCGTATCTTCGTCAATTCTCTGAAATCTCATATAAAAAGTATAAAGTCTCGTTTAACTGTTATTGTCTATAATAAATAAGTAAATGTAATTGCTATTCACCAAATTATATAGAATAAAAAAAATACTATAATACAATAGTCAGTTTTTTTACAATACAAAAGACAAAGGAGCATGCGGCTCATCCGATGGTAAGTGACTACTACCGGCCACAAGTACCAACTTTACTGAAGAAATAATATGCTGAGGACCTTTCAAAGAAGAATATTTTCTTTTCTTGAACGTTACGATGTCATATCTGTTCGGAAATACTGTTGCTAGACGTTGATTCCAAAACGTGGTTGATTGCGCGTGGAAGAAAGTCCTTTGAAAAACACACGATGGAAGACCGCCACTCATCAAGATGATTAGAATGGAACTTTAGTTTGTAATACAAACACAAACTAATAAACTATTTCTAAAAAAAAATACAGTGGCAAACAAAATTATAAATAAAAGCTGTATTATAGTTTAATGGGTAATTTAAAAGAAGTAACTGGATAAGTAACAGAGATATTAATTACATAAATAGACAGACGAGAACGATGACTTTGTTTTGTTCTATTTAGAAATTTATCAAAATTTATACATGAACAGATACGACAGTTAACAATGATAACGATGATAGAGATTAAATATTTTGTTGAATACCATACTCACTAGTCGCAGTGCAGTTTTACACAATGACTAACATCAACACTGAAGTGGTTCTGCGTAAATTACTCGACAATATAGCTAAAGAACATAACTATAATGACCCCAATGTGAGCGTGCGAGCTATAACTACGGACGGTGCTAGCTATAGCTCCATGCTGTATGCAGCAACAATTTCTACACCAAATAAGGAAGAACTTCAACTTTTTGCCAAAGTCGCCAATGTAGGTGAGATCGCCCGTTCTCAATTACTTTTACCTTTATTCGACATAGAACGCTTCGCATATAAAGAGTTATTGCCAGCTTATGAAAAAATACAAGATAGGAACAAATTATCCAATAAAGACAGACTGGTTTGGCCCAAATTTTATGGATGTAATCCAAATTTGTACGAAGAAACAGTAGTTCTTGAAAATTTGAAAACGAAAGGATACGTAGCATATGATAGACTCAAGTCGATTGACTGGGCTTACGCTTCCAAGGCTGTTGAGTCGCTCGCTAAATTCCACGCCCTGTCCATAGCTTACGGCGAAGAAAATCCGACACAATATGCTGAACTTCTAGCTAAAATGAAATTTAATCCAGACTCTTTGAACAAAATGGCTGGTACTTTCGACAAATTGGTAGATATGGCTGTAGCTGTGACAAAAGAAGATAATAAAGAAAGATTAAGACAATATATTTTAAAAGAAAGTGGCTTCAAAAACATAGATAAATTTTATCAGTCAACTGGTTTAATCATTTTAAGTCATGGTGACTACAAGCCAAGCAATTTAATGCACAAAACAAATAAAGTAAGTATATAAAACATTAATTTCTATATGACTATGATAAAAATGTGTATAAAAAAACTTAAGTAACTAATGAACCAAACAATACCATATCAGCCATTATCTGTCCACTGCTGAACATAGGCCTCCCCTAAAACGGGAGTTTTGCCAGTAATTGCCACGCTTGATAGGCTAGTTGGTAATCGCTGTTAGGTTTTGGTGATATTTAAACAGGGACACTGCTGAACATTTCTCAACCATTAAATTCCCTTAGTCGCCTTTTGCGAAACCCATGGTAGAGGAAAGGATGAACCTTTCTATTCCGGGACCACACGGCGTAACGGATATTCTGGTTTCCATTCAAAACACATAAATCTTTAGCCTTTTAACTGATCTTTCATCAGAGTTCAAAACTTATAACATTGAATAATAGGTTCTATTTAAGAAAGTCCTGAATTAAGAAATTTCCACTATTTCTAGAAATTGCCACTAGGAAGCTATGAAATTTTGATTTTATTCCAGCTTTTATCTGGAACTGTTATCACATGATCATATTGTACATATATTAAATAAATAAAGTTGATTGATCGATTCGATCGAGGATTCTTGGATACTTCGGCCATGTTGCTCGACGACAGTCCGACAATCTGGACAAACTAATGTTTGTAGACAAGATAGAGGGAAAAAGACCACGCGGACGATCGCCTAATCAATGGTCGGACCAAATAACCGCCGTTACGGGACTGTCAATTGCAGCTGCCCTGCGTGAAACTGGAGACCGTGCACAATGGAATAACATCATAAGAGAGGCAACGGACACCTTTCAAGGATACGACCTACAATAATGAAGAGGACGAAGAGACAGAGATCGATTAATTAATTACCTATCACTACAGTTCGCTATTTCTTAGAAACTTAACAGGCCCTTCATTATAATCAAGTCAACTGTTAACTGTCTACTCCTGAACGTAAGGTTAACTGGTAGAGAACACCGTCCAGTGTTAAGTCCGCATTACGTACATAATTACACTGTGTATTAAAGTTTAAATAAAAGAAAATCCTTCCCCATAAACTGCCTTTGCTATCGGAGCATATTGTCAGTAGTTGCCACGCTTGGCAAGCGGATTGGTAACCGCAGTTAGGTTTTAATGATGTTTTAGGAAAGAAAGTAATTCAACTTTTTTTATATTCTTTCAGGATGGCAGTATAGATGTGATTCCTGTAGACTATCAAACTATTTCAGCTAACAGTCCAATTAAAGACTTGTACTATCTCATCTTCACGGGTTCAGATGAAGAGTTCAGGCGTCATCACTATGAGCAGCTGATCGACCATTACTACCAACAACTGTGTCGAGCATTACGCAATCTGAACCTAGATCCTGAGAAGCACTACCCTAAGAAGAATTACGAAAAGGATTTAAAGGATGTATGTAAATAATATCACGTATTCCATTTTTAGGTTCTTGTATATTTACTGGAACAAATGGAAACTGGAACTAATTCCTAATTACTTCAACATTGGTAGAATTGGCAATGAGACAGTATTTTTGTTTTGGTATTCTTATTGAGTACCAAATAATTAAAGATTGTGTTCCAGAAACAAAACTGACTCCAATTGTGACAAAACCTTTTGATTTAAAACGAAACTATTGAACCGATGTTAATAAAATTTCTAAGAGAAACTGTTAAGAGCAAACTGTTAGTACATCCTTTCAGATAACAGACTAATTTTTCAAAACGATTAAGAACCGGTAGATCTATGAAGTAACCCCTGGAAACTATCGTGACCAATTTATCGTTGAATTCGTCATAATAGGCTAACTGACCTGCCTTTTCATCTTCACCCTCTCAATTGTACCCAGCCGGTGTATACCGATAGCGCGGGCGGGGTTACCATGTCATTTTTATGCATTAAAGAAAAAACCATTGACGGAGTTATAAAAAATAATTACTAGTGGTCTAACCTAAAAGAACTTTACGTTCGCATCCAAATCGAGCTATGTTTGCTCTTCAAATTATTAATTTTATTATGTATCAAGTGTACTTACTGAGAATCAAATATATAGGATATATCGTCATAGTCGTAGAATACTGACAGATCTGACAAAGATTACGTATAAAGATCCGTCGGTATTCTACGACTATGACGATATGTAACTAATAGAATCGGTATTTATTTCAGTTTATGCCGTTTGGCCTAGTTCTCGGTGTACTTGCACTACCAGTTATCACTGTTGAAGCTGAGAATGCACCGTCTCTTCAAGATGAAAATGGCCTTAACAGCATACTGACCACGAAAACTAGCAATCTGTACCCAGAAAGGTTGAATGGAATTGTAAATGACTATGTCCGATGGGGGATACTTTAAGCGTACTGTATTTAATGAATCAACATCATCATTATCATATCAGCCGTTATCTGTCCACTGCTGGACATAGACCTCTCCCACAGACTGCTATAAGGAACGGTCCTGAGCCAACTGCAACAGTACCGACTCCCTGCAGTGCGTTAGAAGTCATCACTGTATCTAGTAGGGGAGTTGTTCTACACTGCGTTTTCCTGCACGGAGTCGCCACACAAGACCTTTCTTCCCTTTCAGTTGTCTTTTCTTCCAGCTATGTAACCAGTTCATTACCACTTACTACATTTAATAAATGCAATACATTTTATGACATAAATGTAATAATATTTTTAATTAATAATAAAATTCAAGTGTTACGTTAATCTATTTTACATATGTAGGTTAATATTAAGATTAAAAGAATACTAGTATCTGAACTATGCCGAGTATATATCTGTATCCTAGTTACTAGTCATTTCTATGAACTAGGTGGTAGGTAAAACAAGAAATAATAAAATATTACAATATTATGAGTGTTTATTTTATACTTTAAAAAGAATTTCACTGTAACTTTATTAGTTCTGGCAAATTACAAAAAAATATGATATTCTTCGTATTATTATGTTAATTTAAAACATAAAAATTGTAATAACGAACTATGTTTTGAATAGCACATAATTATGGTTATAACATATTTAACTGACAAGTGTAACTCTTTATAATTTGTGAAAAGCATAAAATCATTGTTCTTAAGAATCAAGAATACATTTTGTTATATGGTGTTGTGTATTTTTAATAATTAAAGATTGTGGTCCACAAAAAAAACGAGTTAAATCGTAATCTACATATTTTTAATAAAATAAACAATATATTTAAAAATTATAAATCCTTTTCACCATCCGTGGCTGTAAATTTTCCAGTTTCAACAATTTTTATCACAAATATAAAATTTATCATTGCTGTAGTTGGAATTAAACAAAATGTTTTTATACAACTTATATTTGCAAAGAAACTGACGGCCCACCAGATGAAAAGTGGTAATCGTCGCCTGTAGACATGAACTATAGACATAATAGAGTTTACTGTGTCACCCATGATACCTCTCATTCGTTGCCATTCTTGACGACTAAGGCGTCTTTTTTAGGTAATTTTAATCAACCAATCGATGATATGGACTTCCGCAAAATAACACGTAATTCAATTAAGTATTTATTATTATTGTTGTTGTTGTAAAAATTCAACAACAAACTTATTTAAAAAACCACACTATTTTTTTTTTAAATTTACATAATTTAAAAATATAATAAACAATAGTTAAACTATGATGTTCCAGGAAAACTCTTAAACCTTGACAAATGCCATCGGATGATGACAGTATTTATGTCTATGCGACGACCTCACATACACACGCTAATAATACGAATAGAAGGTCAGGCCAATAAAACACTTCAGCTTTGGTTCACAATGTAGTAGTCGTTATAAAGAAGTATTATACGTACGTGTTTTAAACCTGTTACGAACAAATTCACATACAGTCACAATTTTATATATTATTAATAGTATTATAGTGATCATTAAAGATGACAAGTGTCGATACTGAGCAGATTCTAAGACAGTTGCTTGACAAAATTGCTAAAGAACTAAATTACGAAGAAGCTAACGTCAGTGTGAAAGCTATAACTACCGGTGGCGCAAACTATAGTTCCGCGTTATATGAAGTGAAGATTTCTGAACCTAACAAGGAAGAACGAGATCTTTTTGCTAAAGTCGCAATAGTGGGTGAAGTAGCTCGGTCCCAATTTCATCTGCCTCTGTTTGATATAGAACGCTTTGCGTATAATGAATTATTACAAAGCTATGCAAAAATACAAGACAAAAACCAATTGTCTGATGAAAATCGACTAGTTTGGCCAAAATTTTATGGTTGCAATCCAAACCCATACGAAGAAACTATAGTCCTTGAAAATCTAGCAACAAAAGGGTACGTTACTTACGACAGACTGAAATCAATTGACTGGGCTTACGCTTCTAAAGCTGTTGAGTCGCTCGCTAAATTTCATGCCCTGTCTATAGCTTATGGCGAAGAAAATCCAACAGAATATGCAAAACTTCTGGAGAAAATGAAGTTTAACCCAAATCGAGTAGAACACATGAATGATGCATACGTAAAATTAGCAAATATGGCTTTGGCTGCCACAAGAGAGGAAAATAAGGAAAAATTAAAAAAATACATAGAAAAAGAAGGAGACTTGATGAAAATGGCAAAATTTTATCAGCCAAAGGGCTTGACACTGCTAAAACATGGGGACTACAGACCAAGTAACTTGATGCATAAAACTAAAGAAGTAAGTAAATTAATTTCAAAACTGTTCTATTACTCTTTTAGCATTTATTGGATAGTATTCGATAATAATAGCGGAAATTGTTTAAACAAGCAAAAATCTGAAAATTTTATTCATTATTGCAATGTTTTTCTTTACTTCTAGTAATAATTTTCTGCTACTTATCTTAGTTTCATCAGAAATTTCTAAATCCGAGATAAAAAAAATGCTAAAATATAATTACTAATATATTAATATTACATATCACTTTATTAAACTTAATAAAGTTTCTTGGCAATATAACTAGACTGATTTAAAAAATACAATAACTTATTATACGTGATCATAATAGCATGTAGATAATTCTTTTACCTTATTGATAGTCAGTTCTTTATTAACAAACGCATAGTTGTAAAACTAGATTATTGCTATGTTTTAATCATTTTATATTGCAGTAATTATATTGACATAAATGTTTCCTGGTTCGTATATAAATATCTGCAAACTGCATTTCAACGTGTAATGAGTCTTATAACAAAGTCCATATCTTTATAGCTTCCTTAAAAAACAAATAGTAAAACATTTTTCAATTTTATAAGTAAGCATTAATAACACGCATTAGTTAAAGAATCTTTAAGTATTTACATATTTATTTTAATAATTTCTAATACGACTAGTATCCTATGTAATTGATCGTACTAACGGAGTCGAAGTGGTCATTGTAACCAAAATCCAAAATTAATCAGGACTCACCACTCAACATTTATTTATTTATTTATTAGAAACCAACGGCGTTACAGTTAAGATTAACATGCTAGTATTTAAAATATTAAGGCTAATAACAGGTTTCTTATTATTATAAAAGTACAAAATTGGTTTGCGCAAAAAAGGAAAAATACAATGCAGACATTCAATCACAAGATACTCAAATACAAATATTTACCAATGCATGTATGTTATAGTATATTCAGTACATTACGTTTATTTTCAGGATGGCACCCTTCATGTGATCCCTGTAGATTTCCAAACAATATCAGCTGGTAGTCCCATCATAGACTTACTGTACTTCATTTTCACGGGTTCGGATGAAGATTTTAGACGTCAGCATTATGAGCAACTAACCGGCCATTACTATCAAGAATTAAGTCGAGCATTACGCAATCTGAACGTCAATCCTGAGAAGATTTATCCAAAGGAGGACTACAATAAAGATTTAAAAGAGGTAAATATAGTTCTGAACTTTGCTACTTTCGTTTCAAGGTCGAAAATTTTCAAAACTCTTTGACAAATTGAAACGATGATTATGAAATTAAAAGCAATGCATTAGAGTACGTATGAACACAATACACTGTATTTTTAATAGGAATTAATGACAATGTAACCAAATTTTGTTAAAATTATCACAGAAACATTTTCAAAATTAAATTATTGTACTACTATTTGACATCAGCTGACTTTTATATGGACGGATAATAATTATTATAAATGTGAAAGTGAAAGTTGTTTGTCTGTTACCTCTTGGCGCCTTAGAACTTAACCATTTGCTATGAAATTTGGTATATAGATACTGTATAGGATGAAGAAGAGCATAGGCTACTTTTAATCTCTAAAAATTCTCCAATCCAATAAGAGAGAGATCTAAATCTTTTTTTTTTTATTTATTTTAAATAGGCACTCCACCAGTTATATTGTATATCTATTTTATGTTATATATTATCTTTAATTACAAAAAAATCAACAAAAACCACAAGTCTCGATTCTAAGGGCATCTAAGATTTCGTGTTCCAATTTCGTGTAGTGACCTTAAGCAAAATAGTAATTTGTAATTTTCTCTTACAGTTTCTACCCTTCGGTTTGGTTCTTGGTTTATTTACGTTACCTATAATCACCGTTGAGGCTGAGAATGCGCCATCCCTTCAGGGTGACGACGGTATCAACAGCATGGTGGTATCGAAAACCAGTAATTTGTACCCTGAAAGATTGAATGGAATTGTTAATGACTATATTCGATGGGGAATACTTTGAATATTGGTACATAAGTTAAATGTTTATATTTATGAATAAAAAAGTTATTGTTGCTTTGTTAAATCTTAATATATTTTATAAATTTATATATTTATTTTTAATTTTTAACACAATTCCCGGACTAGACAGAAATTTGTAAACTTTATATAAATCTAAACAAAAAGAAATATTAGGAAGACCAATTTAAAAGAGTTGAATTCTTAATAATAGCTAATTTTTTTTTATACAAATTAGAATGGCAAACAAGCTGACAGCGCTGATGGAAAGTGGTGACCATCGCCTATAAACATAAACAGTACCATCGACATAACAGAGTATACTGTTTCGCCAATGACACCCCCCATGCGTTACCATTCCTGAGAAGTCAGGTGTTATTCCTCTGTACCCTGTAAATTCACGCCATATCGCACCCTTCAAACCGAAACACAGCAATGCAAACACAACTGCTTTACGGTTGAAATACGAATGGGACAGAGGTACCCAAGCAAACGAATTTTGTACAAAGTCTCCATCTAGTATATAATTGAACCAGACAACTTTGAAATCCCATTTCGAATTAACGTTTCAACTAATGCAATAAATTGAAGAAAATTTTCTTGTGCAGTTATTTATAAAGATTTGTAACACTTCAGATGTAGAAACGTAATGTATTAATGATATTAAAGACATACTCGTAAATTTTCTAAAAATCATATAATTTTATTATATTTATATAATTTAATAAAAAAAAAAATCATATTTTTTAGAAAGTTACATTCATATAATTAAAAAAATATATGGAGAATTTAAAAAAAAAAAAAACAAATACGAGTCGATACACGACATAACAGACTATACTGTTTCGCCCATGATACCCCCCATGCGTTGCTATTCCTGAGGACTCAGGCGTTATTCCTCTGTACCCAGTAAATTCACGCCATATCCCACCTTTCAAACCGAAACACAGCCATGCAAATACAACTGCTTCACGGTAGAAACACGAATGGGAAAGAGGTACCCAAGCCACGGCCCGTTGCGAAGTGAGCGTCACCAAGGTGGAGTGCACGTGCGGAGGGGAGATTAGATCTATGAGTAAGGTACCCGCGCGCCTCAGATGCTTAAATCTTTAAAATAACGAAACCGATTTTCATGCGTTTTTTTTCATCAGATAGAGTAATTCAATAGGAAGGTTTATGTATATAATACATGCATAATATTATAGAGAAACACTAATAATGTTAGAGGTCTAGTGCGCGAGGCGTATTAAATAAAACTTTAAAATTATCACCGCACCAGTATGGTATAGGTAGGTAAGTTTTAACTTTTAGGACATAGGTGTTTTGAAAAATATACTCCTATGAAAAAATGGTTTGGAAGCGAAGCGATGTAGCCATATCCATAATATAGCAGAGAAACACTGATAATTTTAGACGTTTCTAATGTAATGTCGTAAATTAACACATTTTTTGCGCTTAGCATTGATATGATTACATAGATATGACTCAATAGATATGACCTCATAGATATGACTCCAAAGATATGACTTCATAGATATGACTCCATAGATATGACTACATAGATATGACTCCATAGATATGACTACATAGATATGACTACATGGATCTGCCTACATAGATATGACTCCATAGATATGACTATATAGATATGACTCCATAGATATGACTTCATAGGTAATCATATTTCTGGAGTCATATCTATTGAGTCATATCTTTGGAGTCATATCTATGGAGTCATATCTATGTAGTCATATCTAGTCATATCTATGAGTCATATCTATGAAGTCATATCTATGGAGTCATATCTATTGAGTCATATCTATGTAGTCATATCTATGAGGTCCTATCTATGAGGTCATATCTATTGAGTCATATCTATGAAGTCATATCTATGGAGTCATATCTATAAAGTCATATCCATGGAGTCATATCTATGGAGTCATATCTATGAAGTCATATCATATAGAGTCATATCTATGAGTCATATCTATGAAGTCATATCTATTGAGTCATATCTTTGGAGTCATATCTATGGAGATGTAGTTATATCTCATATCTATGAAGTCATATATGATTATATAGTCATATATGACTCCATATATGGTATGACATAATAAATATTGAGTCATATCTGAAGTCATAAGGAGTCATATTTGAGTCATATCTATGAAGTCATATCTATTGAGTCATATCTATGACTATTTGGATAGTGGTAAAAATTCAAAAAATTCAAAATTCAAAAATCATTTATTCATGTAGGACATTTTAGCCGCTTATGAACGTCAAATTTTTACATTATAATTTTATATTTATACCGTCCAGTTCGGTATATGACTACACTTTTTTTTTTTTAGTTTATTTACAATGTATATTTATATAGACATGTCTAACATTAAATGAAAATTATGCATGAACCTATTAGCACATGTCATTCAAGTAATCGTTTAGTGAGTAATGACTCTCATAAATATGATTTAACAGATGTTTTGAATTTATGACTCAACATATCCTTTGGTATCTTATTGACCTATTCCATAAAAGACCTATTAACTTTTTCAAACGATATGTGACACAAGTTTGTCTTTAAATCTAGTATTAATATATGAATACTGGAAATCAGTCAAGATTTTTATGAACATATAGAATATTTGAATATATGATTGAGAAGCAACGGTGAGATATTTGCCTCTTTGAATTTCTCTCTTAATGAGTCACGACTCTTCATACAGTAGATATCGAACGGCACGTTTTTGTAATATGAATATATTCTTAATATCTGCCGCTTTTCCCCATAGTAATATTCCATAAGAGAGTAAACTATGAAAATAACTAAAATAGACTAATCTAGCAGTATCAGTATCAGTGTACTGTCTAACTTTACGCACGGCAAAAGCTGCTGAACTTAGTTTCGCTGCAAGGCTTTGAATTTGTGACCCATTGTGTTTTATTATCTAGTGTGATTCCTAGAAAGACAGTAGATTCTATATCGAGAGATTCGTCATTTAATTTAATATTGCAATTGATTAAAACTTTTAGATAGAGAGATAACACATTTTGTTTTTTTACGTTTAACATAAGATATGACTGCAGGAGACATAGATATTTACATCGTCATAGATTATGTCATTCTATTAATAAAAATCAATGATCGTTCATAGATATGACTCCATAGATATGACTCCATAGATATGACTGACCCGTCAGACGTAGCGTTGTTAATCTTCACTTTCTGTATTCTATCAGATAGATAAGATTTTATTAAATTTGCATTGTCTTTGACGCCAGTTTTTTTAGCAATGTATTATGATCAACGCAATCAAAACTCAAAAAACACCTATCACATCCATTTTAGTTTCATAGATATGACTCCATGAACGACCTTTGGAAAAACCGAATTGACTATTGTGGATTAAATTATTTAAAGAAATAATGACAAGTTCCATAAGGATTATTTTTTCAAAAATTTTATGACTCCATATGGATATGACTATAATTTAGATGTGACTCCAGATTTATATATATGACTAATTTTCATTATGATATTACTTCATCTATACATTTATTGAAAATAGAGACTAATTTCCATTATACTAGTATTTTAACAGATATCCATAGATCCTCTGTTTTTTTATTATTAATATATTTTCATTATTTCTACTGATGATGTATGTCTAAAGTTAAATACAGCTGATGACTTGCTAACATTGTCTGTTAGTAAAGTTTCAGCAGCAGAGGGGGAAGATTTTAGAGCCTGTGTCGTAATTAATGGAATATTATATGATTCGAATGTATGCGCGACCTCTGTGTCGGAATTTACCAATTTGTTATTAATATTTAAAGCTATTTTGCTATTTTGAAAATTAACTTTTCCAGTTTCGCTATTTATTACTTTCCAAGTGGCTTTTATTTTATCTTTAGATTTAGTTATTATTTTACCTAAATAGAGAGACTTAGCTGTATGACAAGGTAAGAGATGTGTTATGACCTTGTCAAAGCCTTTGATAGTCTTTACCAATTTTAATGAAAAATGAGGGTTTTGGGATAAGATATTGGTTTAATAGCTATCTACTAAATAGAAAACAGTATGTTCAAGTAGGCCATTTAAAAAGTTACCTCACATATGGAGTTCCACAAGGCAGCATCCTCGGTCCGATTTTATTCATTATCTATATGAATGACATCTTTAAACTACAGTTATTGAAGGCCGAAATAGTTTGTTATGCTGATGATACGGCTATTTTATTTCATGATACAACCTGGGAAGAAGCGATGAAGTTGGCCGAGTACGGTCTCGCGCAAGTGTCACAGTGGTTGGACTCTAATTTGCTTTCCTTGAATACGAGTAAGTCTAAATACATGACTTCACAAAACCAGGGCTTAGATGAAATTAGACACACATATATATGTACAGCGTCAAAGATGTTATGACTGCAATCATAAGATGATTGATTGTTCAAATTGATGAAAACCTATCATTCAGGTCACATATTGTAAATTTAGCATCTCAGTCAGGAAATTAATTTATGTGTTTAAACTCATACGTCACAGTGCCAACAAGGAGGTTCTCAGATTAATATATTTTGCAATGTGTCAGTCTATTAGCAATACTGTATTGAGTGTGGGGTGGAGCGGCAAAAACGCATGATTCTGCTGGAAAGAGCAAGATCTGTACTCAAAGTAATGCTTAAAAAATGTTCGATTTCCTACAACAGACTTATATAGATATACTGTTCGTCATATACATTCTACAAGTTTTTAAATCGTGTCATAAAAATTCACTTTGTCATCTTGACCACCCAAAACTATTAACAAAAAGAAATATGATTACATTTGCAAGTCGCTTACCACGTTTTCTTCATCCTTACATATACAATAAAATACTTAAATGTTGCCAAATAAAGAATAATACTTCATCACAGGCTAATAGACTTGTAAAAATTATTTACTTTCATTAAATTATGAGGAAACTGAGAATTTCATGAAACCCTGATCCTGACTGTGTACATATATATACGCACGTACCTAATTATGCACGAATGCACAAGCATGCACGCACGCACTCACTCACTCATACACAACATATACCTACA